CGGTCCGGATAGGCTGTAGGCCCCCACGAGGGCAGACCAGACGTGCCGAGGCTCGGAGAGTGGACCAGGCCGACTGAAGGCCCGATGCGGGCGGACCAGTCACGTTGTAGACTCAGAGAGTGGACCAGGTGGGTTGAAGGCCCGATGCGGGCGGACCAACCCCACTGTAGACTCGAAGGACATGACTAGACCCGGAGGATGGATCCGTTGGACTGAAGGCCCGATACGGCGGACCAGTCACACGGTAGACTCGATATGCATGGTTGTTCTATGTTCTGTTATGTTATGTATGTTTTATATGTTTTGGACCGGAAGGTCGTAGCCTGGAAGGGCGTATACGTGGTTGGTATTTTGGGGGTATCTCACTAAGCTTTCGGGCTTACAGTTGTGGTTTAATGTTTTTCAGGTTCTTCAGGAGACTGTGGCAAGGCGAAGGCGCGATCGTACCGCTCCTCATGATTTTGTAGCAATGTGATTCTGGGAATACTCTAATGACTTGTATTGAAAACCTTTTTTGTAAACATTTTACTGAAAATCAGGTTGTTTTGAAAAATTTAAATTGGTTGTATTTTTCGGATGTTACAGGTGTCATACGGTTCCGAAAATAGGGCAAGTTGGGCCCCAGGTATATCAGACCCTTCAGAGTCATAGCCCGGGTGAGCAAGGTAGCATACAGACTGGATCTTCCCGCCGAGCTCAGCCAGATCCACAGCATCTTCCATATTTCCTAGCTATGGAAGTGCTTAGTGGATGACACGGCAGTTGTACCCTTAGAGGATATTCAGGTTGATGACAGCCTAAATTACATTGAGAGACCAATGGCGATTTTGGATCACAAGACAAAGGAGATGAGGAATAAGAGGTTCGAGCTAGTGAAGGTGCGGTGGCAGCACCATAAGGGATCGGATTAGCCTTAGGAGCCCGAGGAGGAGATAAGGGAGCACTACCCAAAGTTGTTATCAGACACAGCAGACTTCGAGGACGAAGTCTAAGACAAGTAGGGGAGAATTGTAACGTCCCATTCTTGGTACGCATCTAATTTATTTAAGTCTGTATATTGTAATAGCTACTCGACGAGTTGGTAGCCCTAACTAGTCGACTAGATGCCAGTTTGGACGTAGGGGTTTAAGTGATCTACCTGACAAGTCGAAAGCCTTGACTCGAAGAGTAGCTCCGTCAGGAGGAAACCTTAATATTTAGGGTTTGCACCCTATTTAAGCATCATATCATGCCTCCACCCCAACCCTTATCACCTCCACAACCCACTCTCGAAACACTAATCAACCTTGTGTGTTATTGAGCTAGTTTCTCACCATTTTGTGTGAATTGAAGTTAGGAGGAGGAAGGAGACCCTTGGTGATTAAAGAAGAAGCAGTAGATCCAGAGCGTGTGTTGCATTTTTAGACCCTTTGGAGGTATAAAGCTTATACCTTGGCTTCTTTTCACTTAGATCTTCTTCTAGGGTTGCATGTTGTCATTTTTGGTCCATTTCCAAGGCCATTTCCGAGTTTTGAGTTTTTTAGGGAAGTAAGGACTTCAGATATGGGCATTCTTGAGCTCTAGAAGCTAAAATTTGCCACCTTTATTCAGCCATGACCTCATTCCTTGCATTAGGTCTTCGTTTTAGCTTGGTTTTGGTGTTTTAGCTTCATAACACCATGCATGCACGTAAAGTTAGCAACTTTACGTGTTATGCTAACCTAGGGAGTCCAGATATGTGAGATAGAAGCATTAGAAGTGATTAGAATCGACTGTATGGTTTTGGAATTCAAAGGACTCGACTAGTTGTTCATGTGACTTGGCGAGTGGAGTCGTGATCCCTAAAACCTTTTCTGTTTTCGAGTGAACTCGTTGAGTTAGTAAGTAACTCAGCCAGATGGACAAGATCTAGACTAAGAAGCTGAAGAACTCGGCGAGTCTGTGAAGGTACATGACGGAACTCGGCGAGTCTACGAAAGGACTCGACGAGTTGACTTAGTTTATCACGAGACTGATAGCATAGGACTCGATGAGTTAGAAGATAACTCGGCGAGTTAGGTTTACCAGGAGTTGACATTGGCTTTGACCTTGACTAAGAGCGTTGACTTTCACCAAGGGTAAAATGGTCATTTTACCCTGAGAAGGATTTTCAGATCTTGACTAAGTATTATTGTGATTTTGATAGTTAGGGAGATGTTGGAGCATCTACCAGATATTCCTCACTGCAAGATTTCACAAACAGCTTTGCAAGGTGAGTTTTATCCTGTAGGAACAGGTCTAAGGCGCCAAGGCTGGCATGTTTAGTTAGTAGTAGTTCTGGATTACGGTTTGATGTCGGGCGGGGCCCAATGTAGGGTTATATGTTTTATTCCGAATCTAGATCTGATGTCGAGGAATGCTTGTATGATTGTATGCTTGATGTCTTTGTGATTCTTGCATATGTGTGTGTTATTTGTTAGGAGTTCTAGACTTCGGTCTGATGTCGGGGAATGCTCGAGGAATATCTAGTTAGTATGTATGATAGTATATTTCTGGACTCCGGCCCGATGTCGGGGCGGTTCCCGAGGAATGTTAATATGTTTCTGGATTCCAGTCTGATGATGGGGTAAGCCCGATAAATATCTTGTTAGTATGATATGATAGTATATTTTCGGACCTCAGTCTAATGCTAGGTGGGACCTAAGGAATGTTTTCATGTTAGTATATGTGATATGTTATATGTTTGTTGATATGTTATTATGTATGTCGAGATCTGCTCGATCCCGGGTGGGGCCCGATGCCAAATAGGGTTCGATGATGGGCGGGTCCCGATGTCGGGAAAGCGGATGTCGAGCTAGACTCGGTGTAGCAGGGGCAGGGCCCAAGATATCTTATATGTTATGTGTATGGTATGTGGTAGTTTGAAGGAGCTCACTAATATTTGTGCTTACAGTTTTCAGTTTGGTTTCAGGTACTTGAGCTAACAAGGGGAAGGGTTCGGGGTGATCGCATGGCACACACCACAGTTCCCAGCCTGGGATATTTACTCTGATATTGGATACATGATTTAATGCATTGACAAATTTTATGATGTTTCAAGTTACATGACTTATGTTTTGATGTGAAGTTTCATTATTCATGGTTTTTGATAATGATTTAAAATTTTTTGATCGTATTTTTGGGATGTTTCAACTGATCCAACAAAGTTAGGGTTTTAGACGGACATTGCAAACATTGAAATCTAACTAATAAACAAAATTCATTTTTGTCAAATGTTTTTTTTTTTTGACACATGTCATTTTCTATGAGTTTTTTTATAATTTTTTTTCTCTTTGTCGTTTTTTATGTTTTTCATTTTCTTTAATTTAAAATCGTAATTTTACTATAGGTTTATATATGTAAGCTAGATAATTCTATTAAATTTCAGAATAAATACTCTAGAACTGTTTCTTTCTCCCGATTTCAAATTTCCTACAATTAAAACTTAAATCTTTGATATCACGCATAGGTATCCAATTTATATATGAAATATTATTTTATTAAACATGTGTATTATACGGGTCTCACACCTAATTACAATGACAAATTGATACAAACTGAAAACTTAAACTAAAATTGTGATATTCATCAAACTATAAGGTCTATTTTCTTAAGAGAAATTAAATTATCTTTTACTTTTTATGCCTATAATTATTCATACCTACTAAAATTATAACAAATCATCATTCAATTTTATTTTATTTGATATATTCTTAATATAGCATTGATGAGTTACTTAAAAAATTATGAAATTATTACATTTGTCATAGAAATATTTATAGGCATAAAAAATAAAAATAAATTTAATTTCTTTTTTCTTAAATTTAGCAGTATATAATAAAGTGTTAAACGTAATATTATATGGAAAGGAATCTAGTGGTAATGTAGTGGCAGACAAAATATGAGGGCAACTCTCCCTAATGTTGGAGAGGAGATAATAAATAATAAAAATGATCAACTTGGTTGTCGAAATTTAAGAATATTAGGTATTTGCTGTGCAAGATTACCATATTAAATATATTTTTATGTTGTACATAATGCAAGTTAGATTTGTATTTAGTGAAATTATAAATCTATTATTGATTTAATTTCAACACATTTAAAACCAATTTCTTCTGTAATATTATTGTATTTGTTAAAATAATGGTTATTTTTTCTATACGCTTGTGTCGATTTAGAAATTGAAAGTTTTTTTTATTTAATATTCAACGTTAAAAGAAGTAATATCAAAATTTGGACCTTCTGATGTGCGTTTGTTGTGTGGGGTGAGCCAATCGTGTTTTTGGAATATTTAAATATTATTTTATTATGTAAGATATTTTAAATACTCTTGTTTTGAAACTCAATCAATCAATGTGTACTTAAAAGATGCCATATTATTATTATTTATTATTCATTGGATATGATTCTTCCCCCCTTGCCTTTTGATTTTAGGTACTTAAAAAGCAATCTAATAAGAAACTCCATTATGTTTCCATGGTTTTAAATATAGCAACAATAATAATTGACTTAGAACCTTATATTACTATTTTCTCCCTATAATCACATGGAAGATGATGTTTTCCGAAACATTAAACATGAGTGGTTTAAAAGTTTGCCCCTATATATGGATCTGAACGTTCATCATTAGGTGTACATAAAAATATCAAGATCAGATGCAAATCAAAATAAAATTATTTGCTTCTAAATATAATAAAGCTTAAAAACAAAATCAAGAAGTAACAACGTAACACCCCTACTTTTTCTTTTAAGATCATAATATTGATATTTTAGATATCCTTAATTTACAAGGTTCATGTGTAAAGTTGTTTTATATAAATCTAGCATTTTAGGTATACTACAAAATTTCACAACTCATTGATTCCACTTATCCATAGTGCTGACATATCTTGTGTACTTGTGTTCTATCGTCAGATATGGTTTTGTGAGTAGGGTCCCACCTCACCCTACCATGACCATATACATCATCCATACTGCGATCACCAATAATACAAGCAAAACGTAAACACTTTGACAAAATTGTCTGTTTTTTATAACGCATGCCATGGGGCTTTATGCCTTTATCACCACACTACCCAAAATAAAACCACTATTCTTTAAAGATACCAATGGGATTTTCACACAACAGAATTAAGAGACAACCATCATTGCAAAAAGCCAAATCGATCCATATACAAGATTCAATGCACTATTACATGTCATTGTAGCATGAGCAAAAGAAGATGTACCTTCTAAAAAGCTAAACGTAACTCATGAGATGAAAAAGAGTGAAAGAAAACTAGAGTTTCACACAAAGAGTCAATCAGTTCACAAGTAGAAAGTAAAAACCCTAAAAAATAATCTTGAAATATACCAAACTTTTTCTTGAATTCATTCTTTTATATCAAGTCATGTTTAAGCTTAGAACTTGATACATCCATGGAGACTGTTTGAGTGGTCTATCTGAAGAACTGTTGTTGTTTCTTCTGTTGCTATTCATAAAGCCTGAATTCTCTCTTGAGATTCTTTCTATTCTCTTTGTATGACTCGACCCTGTTGAAGACGATGAAAAACTTGGCACGGAATCTGATGATTCGGGCTTATTTGTCATGTTCCTCCTTCGATTAAAACTTGTGGGGGCCAACGTCAGCTCGATCTCACACTCGTCGTCCTCAAGTTCTTGATCATTTAATGTTTCTGATACACGATTGTAATCTTTACCTGTTGTCGCAGGATGTTCCAAATCAAACTTGTTCTTCTGTTGTTGATAATTGAATGATATGTTTTCTTGATGATTATGTCTTGTTCTTTGCACGTTCTTCATCAGCATCTTCTGAGTTTTATACAATCTATGAAGTTCATATACCTTCATTCAAAGAAATATTAATCAACACCCATTTCCGATAACCTTTTTTGTTCACAGAATCTATAAAGAAAGTTAATTTTTATTAACACGTGTATATACCTGTTCTTTGAAGGTTTCTTCATGCTTTAACATGGCCATCTTCATACATTCTTTATCATCTGGCTGAACAAATTTATCCATCTTTCTCCTCTCCAATCTTCAAATCTTTAGATCGACAAAAACCTGGAGCGAATTCGAATTCTATATTTGATAATCAATTTGCTGAGAGCTGCATTTGTAGGACATATATAAATAGATTTAGAGATTGCATGGCTCCAATGTAACACAAAAGGTTAAGAAAGAATTCAAGTCCAGATTCTTTTTTGTTTGTTTTTATTCATGCCACCTTCACTGCAATAATTATCACGACAATAAAGAATCTTGATCGACAACCATTGTCTTTACTCTTTAATGGCGATCTATATTTTTTCAACTACAAAATAAAGTCTATGATTGCATCAGGAGATGAACTCGTGGTCATGCACCTTATACAGATCCATTTCTTGAATCATATGGTTGAAAACAACGCGAAATTCACAAGATAACACACGTACACAGACACACATACACCACAAAGAAGTAGATAAAGACGGCTTATTCGAGATTTACGTGAAATACCCAATTTGAGAAAACCATGGGAGAGAAAAGCACATCAATCATATGGATAAAGTTTTGACCTATTGCAGAAATGGTGAAGAACAAGAAGAATAACTAATTGGTTTCTAACCTTTTTGGAAGTGTCAAGTTGGCAGTGAAGAAGAGGTTTCCAACTCCAGAGTTTCTAATGATTGTGTTCGAACGATAAGATGAAATAAAGCGGATTTGGAGAGGGTGGGGGTAGGGGTAGGGGTAGGGGTTGGGTTGTATTTCTTACAACTCATAATTATAATACATAATAGCCACGAACAGCTAATCCGTTTGTTTGATACGCATGATAATAACTTAAAGAGAGACACCCTGCAACCCTCATGTTCACAATATATAAATTCGTTGAATAATTAATTACGCAGATATTTTATAAAAAGTATACCTTACCCTCTTATATATAGAAAAATTTTGATAGAAAATTATATCAAAATACGATATATGTGAATGCATAGGTTATAAAAATAACTATTTTTATGGTTTATTTTTTATTAAAAGAAACAGAAAATATCAAAATTCTTCAATTTTTGTCTTTAAAATTTTAGTTTGGATTTACATTATGCGTCTAAATTGTATCATGTACAATATTTGAATAATATCTATCATTTTACTCAACACGATTTTCATTCGTATGTAAATGATCAATGTGCATTGGCGGATCTACTTGCGAGCCAAAGGTAGTCCGTGCTACCTTTCAAATTTAGTCTAGTAATATAAATATTTAGATAATTTTTTTTATGTGGCAGTGTTAAATACATCCGAAAAATATAGCTACCCCATAATTACTTATAAATCCAAATTCTTTAAAGCCTAAGTTTAATACAGCACTACTGGAAATTTGATAATAGAATACACCACAATTTAATACGGTTGTAATAAAATATGTATTATAAATATAAGGGATGTACATAAACATTTTAATTTCCTTGTTCTGTCTTTTTTTTATTATTATTATATCAAAGGCGAGGAAAAGTTCTTTTCGTCTCACCTTCATTTCTTTCTCCGAACAACCACTCCTTCTCTCCTCCTCCTCCGACCTCCGCACCACCATTTATCCTTCTCCCAACGTTCACCTGAGCACCGCATCTTTCCTTTTTTTTTACCAAATAGAAACCACCAGAACTTTTGCCTTACCAAGGGCTTTCATTTTTCAGATATAAGATCTGATGTATGATTGATTATTTGAATACGATGGAATATGTAAGGCGAAAAGGATCATATGTACTGCATATCAGAGCAAATGAATGGCAAATCGGATCAGAGATAGGGTTGTTGTTTCATCGCTACTTACACTCCTAAGCGTGATGTGCCGATTATGACAAGGTCTGAGATGTAACAACCCGATATTTCAACTCTATGTAAACGACCTAAAAAATCAAGTATTGTAACCACGTTCGTTATAATGAAATTAATTTCGAAAATAAAATATCCAAAAATCACTAATTAATTTACCTATTATGTTAGATGTCATTAAACCGTGATCGTATGTAAAAACGCCCAAATCTGACTTCATATAAGGAAGTTATGAATTTTCCAAGATCGGTTTAGTAACTGACAGCTAAAAACTCGAATCAGAGATCGAGCGATTTTTGACCGGAATGACCTAAATGAGAATCGAAGGTCTCGACAATAGCTTTTCAACGGTAAAAATTCTGGCAAAAACAGACGTCAGATAATGAAGTTATGCATTTCTAATGAAATTTTCTTACCACAACCTTTTAAAAATAAATAATAAAAATAATTTCAAAATTTGCTGATGGAATCTAAATGAAAGTTGTAGACTATAGTCTCACCTACGCGTGGATATAAAGAACGTCGAAAACGGAGTTCGTATGAAGAAGATATGAATTTTTGAAGTTTATTAAATATTAAAAATATAAATTTTAATGGAAATTTCGGTATTATCCGAAGGCTGAGCCACGCACACGTACGCCCAGCGTACGCGAGGCCTAGGCCTCGAATCGTCCACGTCGCGCCCTATGCAAGGCTATGCCCCGTCCCATCCGGAGTCTGAAGCAGTCGAGGATGCGCTCATGCGTGACGCACGCGTACGCCCAGCGTACTCGCGTATGCCCCGCGTACGGAGGCGGTTCCCACCCTCTATAAAAGGGATGCGAGGGTTCCGAAGAAAAGAGCCATTTCCTCTCATCTTTCTTGCGTTTTTGCCTCGTTTTCCGTGCACGTGCTATCCCGAAGTCCCGGTTACCTTGCTCAAGTCCCGAGGGTCGTTTGTGCTCCCGAGATTTCTGAGAATCCCGAGAAAATCCGCTTTTTCGAGTTGAAATTTTGTCCGGTTTTCATACCGCCTTCTCCGATCTTTCAAGTAAGTTCATACCCCTATAACTCACACTTTTAAATGTTTTATAAATACTTTTATATGCTTTTAGAGGTGGGGGGGAATACAAGTAAAACACTCGATTATTATTATGTGTTATATAAAGTTTCATTATACGCTTTTTTATCAACGGAATCATATGTGATTTATAACTATTATAGGGAAACTTTCATATGCAAATTATACCACGATAACATTTTATCTTTTGAAATAAGAAATGATTTATGTATTTATGTAAATCAGACACTCTGCTTATACTATATTTATGTGTGTCGGTTTTGGCACTACAAAAATTATACTTTTCATAACAGGTGAGCATTTTCACTAGAGATTATTATACAAACGAAACACACTTTTAGGAAACTATAATAGGTATAGTTTTACGAGAATAGTACGAACTTTTACACACTAGAAATACTATTTCAAGAAGTTACTCTTATGTACAAGAACACACGAACATTTTTACACGTAAATCTGTTTTCTACTAAGTTTTGTGAGACATTAAACTTCACGTACGCTCGAGTACACATTTCAAGTCCTGTATTATATACCATAATCCCTTGGAGGGGGAGCATGGTGTTTGTGTATAGATCTATACGGGGTTGACAACCCCGCACCCTGACTGTTAGCTACAGTACACCATTTGGGGTGACAAACGTCAAAACATTCCAACGCCTGAAGAACGTTGTGTATAGGCATTCCTGGTCAATAGCATGGTTATAAAACTCACATAGAGTATTAAAAACACATTGATTTACAGGGTTTTTCAGACGTATTAAAGGTTTTATACGTACATAAATTAACTACTTTAGGCATGAAACATCTAATTGTGATACAAGTTTGGAACTTCTAAACCACTACTCACAGATGGGAAAACATCAACTTTCTAAACAAACATGGGTTTTGATTTAAGGCTACATTTATACTAGTAGGAAATATGGGATTTTCTATAAATTAACAAACAAAAACAAACCATTTCATTTTAGTTCATACAAATACTATCATTTAAACACTTATGAAACTCGCCAGCTTAAATGCTGATCTACTCTTTCAAAACTACGTGTATGTCCCAGGGACTCAGTAATTGCAGGTACCAAACAGCTTTTGCAGAAGAAACGTTGCGGCGCCAGTTTAAATTCATATTTTTGGCATCATATTGTAACTGGTTTTGAACATGTACTCTTTTAAACAATGTAAACTTTCAGTTATATATATGATGGTTGTATTGCTTTCTTTACTATGTATTCATTTGTTACGTTACCACATAAAGTCATCTGCCCCCGAACGTTTCCATCGTTCCGGTTTGGGGGTGTGACATGAGAATACAAAAGGAAGGTGGCAATTTGAGTGAAAAAGAAGAAGAAGACATGCTTATTGTGGGGAAACGCAACTTGCAAGTCGTACGCCTAATTTTGAAGAGTTGGGAACGAAGAAGACGAGGAGACATGGATCAAATGAAGAATTTATCAGCAGCGGTAATTCTCTTTCTAATTCAACTTCCAGTTCTCCGATAAACCTTTGTCTCTCTTATCTCTCCATTCTAACTTAGACGATAACGCCTTTTGCAATCAAAACTGTCTATGTCGATGGTAATAACATTGAATTGCGTTTATTTTTGTATCATTATAGTTGTCTAAATCAAATATTTGGTGTGTATTTGTACTTATATGATGTCTAATGAACTAGGTCTACTATTCATGAGTTATGATTTCTTCATCGATGAAGAAAAACATTACTAAAGTTAGGAATTTGATAAATTAATCTAGATTCTTCTATAATTTTTTGCAATTTTTTGATGGCCCTTAATATTGACTTCGTTAAATTTGTTTTTTATCAAATTTTTGATCTTTATGTTTAAATTGATTCACCATTGCAGACTTAGATTAAATTAATGACTATGGTTTGATTGTAATTTATTTGAGCATAAAGTGTCATTCACTCATACATTTGTTATATGTTATACAATAGGTTGTTGTTGTTATCAAATTTTATACTCCAAATGAGCTCCGTGTTCATCTAATGGTAACACTAAACGTAAGGATCTTAATATGTCATAGTATGTAAGTTGAGTTAATTTTTAGCTCTATATTTGATTGGTTTAAGCTTTCAGGTCCAACAAGTGCAGTTTCTTTCTAACACTCCTCATGTTTACAGGTAGATGGTAATCAATAATATTTTGATAGAAAAATAGTGATTAATGTTAAAGAAAAACATACAATATAGTTTCAACTAGCCAATTTGCTTAGAAATAGGTTGAATTTTGGCTATCTAATGTAGGCAATGTTGTAATTAAGAACTTACCTCTACTAAGACAGATATGTCAATATTTTCAGAATTGATTGTATGTGGAAGTTAATTATGTTACTGCAAGTATGCATTATTTTTGTATGTGTCAAGACTTATTAGAATTTAGTTTTCAGACATGACTTTGATTTTTGGTCTTGAATTCATCTTGGTGTCACACCCAAACTTATAATATGTTACTTCACTTGATATTGCAGGGGTATGTTGGAATTCACAGTTTAGGGTTCCGAGACTTCTTGCTGAAACCAGAGCTTCTTCGAGCCATTGTAGATTTTGGCTTTGAACTTCCTTAAGAAGGCAAAGTCTTGTACTTCTGTTTGTTTTCATTCATTAGTAGTTACATATTGTATACTAATATGCTCCTTCTACTTTTTCTCCCGAGTTTCTTTCCTAATTCCTTTGTACATGTGTACTTAAGCTAATTATATTATATTTATCTTTCCTTTTTCAGGTAAATATTACTTCCATGCTCATCATTTCAGTTAGATATTTGGTTTGGTGAACCTTTCCATTTATAGGAAGAAGCCGACATTTTTACTTATGAAGGATTGCATTCGCTTCATCAGTGTAACATGAGTGCATACCACAGGCTATCTTAGGAATGGATGTCATTTGTCAAGCCAAGTCTGGAATGGGGAAATCGATGTTTTTGTTCTGTCTACACTACAACAAATCGAGCCTGTTGCAGGTCAAGTTGTTGTACTTGTCCTGTGCCACACTTGAGAACTAGCCTATCAGGTCAGATTTTCATTTGTAACCCCTAACAATTTGAAAATGTTAATTTTCATCCATGTCTCACTTTTTGTGTTTTTGGTCATATAGATCTGCCATGAGTTTGAAAGGTTCGGTAGATAGTTGTCTAATCTCAAAGTTGTTGTCGCTTATGGAGAAGTCAACATAAGGAACTGCTAAAGAATGAATATCCTCATATTGTTGTTGGAACCCCTGGAAAAGTGCTAGGGCTTGCTAGAGATAAGGATCCTGGATTGAAGATGTAATAGAAATTCAATGGCTCTGATATTTAATTACTCTTATTAAGGTACATTAATATATGTTTCTTAAAATTTATTCTGGTTTGGAATGGAATTGTATTTATGTAAATATAATAGGGAGGGAATGGAATCATATAGTGGGGTTGGTTGGCTGCTGATTAGGGCTGGAATGGGCTAGAATGTCATGAAAATCAATAATATGTATGTATATAGGACGTTTGTGTTAGTGATTCAAGTACGGTTATATTCATGTATTATATTGATTCAAGTACGGTTATATTCATGTATTATATTGATTTATGATCGTATTAGATTGTATTTTTGATTGAGATATAATGGGATATAGAGTACGGTTAAATAGTCGTACTCTATTAGTTAGTTTAATCTAATACTCCCCTCTATTAATACGGCTCGTCATTTGTACTATATGTAGACTTTCACCCGTATTAGATCACGGTTTTTCTAGAAGCTACCCCTAACTTATATATCCGAAGTGTTTAAATTTTGAATTTAATATCCAACTCTATCAAAACATTTTCAAAAAAGATAATAAATTTTTGGAAGCAGCTTCATTACTAGAAGAAAAAAAAAAAGAACATTGCTAACTTTAAAAATGATGAGTTTCCACAAATTTTTAAGAAGATGTGTGCTTTTTGTGAGAAAACAAAAACATAATATTTAAATTATGGAAATGTGAGAATATTACAATATCAATATAACTAATCAACATCATTTTGAAGTTGAGATTTTCAATATAGTTTTGTATATACAAATTCAAGAATTTTTTGGATCAATTTAGTGAAGTTAACATTGAATTGATAGTGAATATTGCGGCTTTGAGTCTTTATGATTTATTTGCTTGGTTTGATAAATCAATATTGTTTAAGTTAAACGAGATATATAAAATGATTGTGATGATTCACAAAGAGTAGATCTTAATAGCTATTATCACTTTTTGCTTAATGAGGAGAAATTTATTAACTTGAAGAGAATTACGGACATCACTCGTTTGTCGGTAAAATAGCGATACATCACACTTTTCCTTTGGTTATATATTATTAAAACTACCTTCGTTTTTACTCGTCACAAGTTGAATAATTTTTTTTATGTCTAATGAAATTATGATTTTTTATTTTTTTAGCTTATTATATGTTACAACGGAAAAAAAAATTATACTATCCTTGAATTTTGATACTAACTCTCCCACTCTCAATACAAATCATAAATATGTATGCAAAATAATGATCCAACTAGACATATCAAACTTGTGAATACAAATAAATATTCACAATAGATGTAATTTTGACTATAAAATATTCATATGTAATAAATATAATTAATTTCACGCATGAATCTAGATAAATTCATTTGAATTTTTTTTTTTTACTATTTCAACATTTTGAGTATACACAAATGAGAGTTAATTTTACTAAGATTTACAACTGAATTTTATTCAAATTCACATGAAAATGATAATGATTACTAAAAAAAAATCTAAGTACGACGGTCAATTTCATATGAATTACTTTTGAAAAATCTAAATACAAAATATATTTATAATGTGAATCGTAATGAGCTGAAATTGTGTGTAGAAAATAGATTCAAAACTTAACTTAGAATGAGTTGAAACTTTGTGTAACACAACAAAAAACATTAGCGACACAAAAAAAATATCGTTACGGCGTTATTGATTTTGATCATCGTCGCTAATACCTTTAGCGACGATTTGTCGTCGCTAAAGGGTCGTTGCTATTACCTCGTAGCTAAAACTCAGTTGTCGTCGCACTTACTGTCGTCTCTAATACATGTCATCGCTAAAAGGCTTCATCGTCGCTATTAGTGTCACCTCTATCAGTATTCCGGCCACCGGTCGGAGTTTATACCGTCAAGGCTTTCCGGAGGTAGGTGTCGTCGCAATTGGAGCATGTCGTCGCAAATTTTGCCGCCCTTAATGTTTTTTTAAACAGTTTATATATGATACTAGTTTATATATTATAAAATATAGATTTTATAAAAATACCGAAATCAATACATACAACATTAAATGAAACATCAAATAACATAAAACAATAAATACAACATTACATAAAACATCAAATATACCACCTTACATAAACTATCTAATAAATCAAAAATAAACATCAAATATACTATCCATAAAATATCTAATAAATCTAAAATAACATCATCCATAACATAAAACAAGAAATATTAGGTGTCTTCATCTTCCACATCATTGTTTTGCTCCTTGTTGATTTGGTTCTTAAACGAGCGGAGAATATCTCCAATTGCATTCACAAACTTTAGGTTTTGAAGAAAAGCATTGATATCCACATCCTAAAATTAAGTCACAAGCACATTAACTCATTACCAATTTAACAAACTATCAAACCACCAAATAAATTAAGTTGTTAACAAGTTAAAAAACTATTAAACCACCAAATCATTGAAGTATTTAACAATGTAGCAAACTACCAAACTACCAAAAATTACTATAAATGCATCAAGTTCTTAACAATATAGCAAAGCTACCAAATTATTTAAGAATTTAATAAGTACTTGTGTTGGTTGTGGTGTCGGTGACTACCATTAGGATGGAACACTTATACTCGCTGCAGAATGAGGTTTAGGCTCAATGCCTCTCACATGCCCTCTTCGAGCACCTCACATCTTCTCAAATATTGTGATCCAATCAATGGAGTTTGGTTCACCACTAGAGTCGGCTATATGCTGAGCTGAGTCTGTACAACAACCTCAGTAACTAAAGCATTATGTATTTCATGGTGATTGTCAATATACTTTAAAACTAACACCAAAAACTAAAATCTACTTCATTTTTAAGTAATAAAAACTTACATATTGGTCTTCAACTAACAGATCAACAAATTTCCCTTGTATATTCACATGGCCACGGTGAAATGCTTCAAGTATATTCAAATTCTGTTTAACATTACAAAATATGTTATACTTCAATAAACATTAAAAAATATGTTATAACTAAATAAACATTAATGTAACTTACGTTCTTAAAACAACCACTACCATAATTGCATGTCCCTCCACGATTCTTAACTACTTGCATCTTCCGGCATTCTTTATTATTAGTGGATCGTTTCTTATGCTTATCTATTAAGAAGTGGTCAATAGTATCACTCCAACACTGTAGATCCATACCATCAGGCGCTTGAGCCCTTGCTGCCTCTACATCTCCTTCAAAATCAGTAAAACGGGTTTTTGCAATAGGTTTGTGACCTCTATACCACGTATAAATCCGATTGTTTAGTGACGCCCAATAAACTGGAGTCTGCAGATCATTTGAAATCGCTCCAAAATCAAACCATGTCTACAAAAAAAATAGAGAAGTTAAAAATAAATCAAAATTAAACATATTAAATACAACTTTATAAATAAGTTACCGAAAGATGCTGGAACATGCCGACCCTTTCGGCTTCAGAAACTTCTTTCAATGTGTCATTATCGAAAGCGATGTCGTGCCACATATATCTCCCAACCTCCAAAATGAATCATTCATATACTTCCCCAATCGGCATGTGAGTATTTCTATCAAATACTATCTTCAGAGGGTGTTTGCCTTGGTTGTAAATAACTTGTACATTTTGTTGTTTATTGACATGCCTCTTTGTTTTGGCAGTACCACTGGAAAAAAATATTAGTCAAGATGATTTTTTTATATACATACAATATGAAATACAATGAATTACAGTAAATCTTAATTAGCATCGATCTAGTGATCACCAAAACCTCCAATGAACGGATTTGGTGGCTCGTCACCTCCATGGCCCATCACAGCAACCATGAGAAGGAGCAATGTAATCCATATAAATGACTACCTGAAAAATTATAACACAAATGAATATACACACATACAATATGATATGATTACAACAAATACAACCCTTATTTTACTATTCAAATATAAATATTTTTTAATCATTCTCGCCTTCATACACTTCAGTGTCTGCGGAGACATCACTATCATGATCGGAATCCTCCTCATCATAATCAGCCTCGTAGTGAGACACATTATTAATGATACCCGTTGGCAGACCAACTTCAATATCATCTTCAACCGATTGTGGATTTAAAGTACTAGCTAAATTCAATTGAAAGAGTGAAATTAGAAGAAGCATCACTAAGAACAACATCTGATAAATCATTTTCGACATTTTCAATGGGATCATTGTCGACATCGTTCATCAATAGATCCCAAATTCTTGTATGATTAACATTTTCAACAACCTACTATTGGTCATTATTTTTGTCACTTCGAGAAGGTTCTCGGATGTAAAACACTTGCTTGGCCTACATAGCAAATATGAGTTGATCTTCACTGCTCGATTCGTGTTGTGGGTCAATACTAGTGAAATTATTATTATATTTAACTCCTGCATTATCGAACCACTTGCAATGAAAAAGTATAGAGGAATAATTATGAGGGTAATCCAGTTCCATAATCTCTTCGAGCTGACCATAATATTTCTAATTATTCTCTTCCTCAGTTAGAACCCCCAAGTTTTATGTTGATCATTGGGCATCACACATAAGTACCATAAACCTAACACCGTTCACTATACAAGCAGTGTATGTAAAGGCATTCATATGCACACCAATTGAAAGAGCCGATAACTCCTTACTACCATCTAGGGAATTCTTTTCCATTATTTATAAACCCAGCCCAATAATGTTAGTATTATTTTCATTCATTTTCTTACTGAAGTTAGATCGAAATCCATTTGGCAGTTTCACATCTCTTATAAACTTAAAAAAATTAATTCGGTTAGATTTAGTGAACGAGTAAGGTGTATGGGGTTTAAGGAACTTGTTCCCATTCGTTTGAACCATTGACTTTTATGAATGTTCAGTTTTTTCAAGTCCACCCGAGCATATGATGTGTCTTTAGACTTATCATTCATCAGAGAAGTACCCAAAAGACTCTCACCTACATTTTTTCAATATTCATAAGATCGAAGTTGTATTTCAGCTCTAGAGAAGACTAATACTCAAGTTTAAATAATATGCTCTTTTTAGACCAATTCAAACTCGCAATTCTCACGATCTCTGTAACATTCAAGATTTGGTATGTTTCCCTTATAACCCTTAATGCAAAATCTTTAGCATTTTGGTCCTTAGCTAGTATGCAGGGTGTACTCTATGAGTACGCTTAGTGTAGTAGCTCAGTTCAGGAACACGGGTTTACCCACGTACGTGAGGCGTATGTGGGAGTACGTTGGGCATACGCTAAGCAGAGGCAAAGCCTAATTTTTACCATTTGTGCCTTATTTAAGCAACTTATGTTGCCTTGGTTGTATCCTTTGTTTAGCCTCTACTCTCGTACATTCTAAGATCGAAACCCTAGCCTCTCATAGTGTGTTTTTGAGTCTTGGAAGTAATTTTATGTTGTTTTGTATGCATTAAAGAAGGTGGTTCTTAGTGGCCAAGCTTTTTCTGGACTTGAGGTTGTAGATCCAGAATCTTCATCAAGTTTGCTATCTCTAGAAGGTATAAAGTTTTTATCTTGGAACCTCTTTGTGTTATATTAAGACTAGGGATTGTTTTTTAGCTTATTATGGTCTTTTGGGTTCTCTTTGGGAGTTTGAGTCCCTCCATGAGCTAGGATGCGAGATCTTAACCCCTATGATGTTCCTTGTGTAAAAAGGTGCCATCTTGATGAATCATATTGGTCCATGCATGAGTTAGAGCCCTTATTTTGAGTCTTAATGGACAAAATCGAGTTTTAGGGTCCCATTAAGGCATGCAAGATGATAAATATGCCAACTTTATGCATTATGCTTTGAAACGAAATAGATCTGATATTTTGACATGAAAAGATTAAGTGGTTTAGAGAAAAGGTGACCAAAATGGAATGTGGCCAGTACGCAGCGCATAATCCCTAATATGTTGCACGTAATGGGCAACCACCCACTTTTGAGTCAATGCACGTACATCGTGCATACGAGGAGTACGCCGACCATACTCGGTGTAATGGGTTTTCGTTGTTTGGGATTTTGGACTCGAGATTATGTTGGCTTTTAGGGTTTGGGCCATTGGACTTATGACCTTGGGTCATGGATGCATTATGTTCCTTCTTGGGATTAGATTCATGTTAATTTTGGGTCCAATTAGGAAGTTGGTTCATAATGGGCCTTAGGATGCCATTTAGAAATTTAGGACTTTTAAGTAAATAGGATGGGCCTTGATTTTGGGTCAAGTAAGAAAAAGGGTAAAATGGTCTTTTACCTTGGATGTTGGATAAGTAATTTAGAGTCTTGATTTTGGGTCGAGATTCAGTTATCAATTGGAAATTATTGATGATGATAGGGAGGAGATTTTCCAGATCATCAGACCGAGATTTTATCTGAGAGATTCAACATATTGAGGTGAGTTTTCTCATTGTGTTACTGGGTCGAAGGCACTAATGTCAATCCATGGTTTCTTTTGTTTAGGATGCTAGTTTTTTGTGTGAGTCTTGTATGTGTTATGTGTTTATATGTATATTGGGCGGGGCCCAATGATTATACTGTATGCTATTTATCTTTGTGATTTTTGCATGTGTTTATATGTTTGTAAGTATACCGGGTGGGGCACGATGCTCGGCAGGGCCTGATGACTGACAGATCTGTTTCGAGCAGATCCTGATGTCGGGCGAGGCCTGGTGATGGGTGGGGCCGATTATATGTTTGATATGTACATTATGTGGTATTTTTGGGAAACTCACTAAGCTTTGTGCTTATGGTTTTCAATTTATGTTTCAAGTACTTCTGATTCGAAGGGGAAGAGCCTGGGATTATTGCAGTGCACACACCAGATTCTTCCGCTTTTTATATTACTCTGATGTACTTGGATGTTTATTGATACAATTTGATTCACCATGGCTTCTATGATGTTGTTTTGGATAATGGTTTTATTAATTTAAAAATCAAAATATTTAGTCCTAATTTTTGGGACGTTACAAGTTGGTATCAAAGCCTTAGTTTGAGGCATTCAGGCATACTCTCGTGTGTGTCTGAACTTAAACTGAGGGTTTGGTAGAATTTTAAAAAATAAATGTTTTATAAAAGGTTTTTCTAATAAAATAAAAGGAGTGTGGTGCATGCAATCGACCAAGCTCAAGTAAGTTTTCCCAAAATACCAATTCATGTTTTATGATATGCTTTGATGTGTGAATCTGTGAATCGCGTGCTAGTTAGGGCTAAGGATTTGCTTAGGGTTTGCATGATAGAATGCTAGGAGAGATGCCTTTATATTCCTACTGTATGAGCTTGTAGACATGTATGCTAGTGCTGATCAGTCGGTGATAGGATGGATTGTTTAGGTTATTCTTGTTCTGTTTAAGTTACATATTGGTGAGACTAAATAATTTTAGAATGTTAGGTTTTTACTCTATTGTGCAGCTCTTGTTTGAGTCCAACTGTTGTAGTGTGGGCCCATACTAGTGGAAAACACGGATGGATGTGGAAGGTAGTATTAGCCCATACTAGTTGAAGCAAAGGATTTGTACTCGAGTCAAGGAGAGCTTTGATGAAACATGGAAGCTTGTAGAGTATGAGACTCCTTGATATATATTTATGTGTGTTCTAATGGTTTGTATGATCTATTTTGAGTATGGTGACTCTTCGAGGAAGGGCGGTTAGTGGTTATAATGCTGATGAGGGTTCAGGCTCGAGATCTGGAGCCAAAAAATTGGATGATCAAACGCGAGAGTTCATTTCATCTGAGATTACCCGCAGCATACTTGAGCAGACTCCTATGATCTTTGGTACGATGAAGGAGGGAATTCTGGAGATTTTGTATGAGTGTTTGAGCGCTTTCCGGCCTAAGATGGTGCCATTGATGGGACCTCACACATTGACATTCCGAGAGTTTCGAGCTTATGGGGCTCCAGAGTATTTCAAGGAGAAGGACCCAATCGTGAGCTGACGATGGTTAGCGGATCTCGCTAATGCCTTCTTTACTAGAAATTATCCCAATGAAGCAAAGGTAAGACTTGATTCTTGTCTTCTGAAAGACAGAGCTCGAGATTGGTGAGAGGAGGTTGGGCGCTTCGTTGGTGATACGGCAGTTGATTCGATGACATGGTATGATTTTATGACTAGATTTCGAGCTAAGTTTTCACCGGTGATTGAGGAATAGCAGTTGGCGAGGGAGTTCCAGGACCTTCGCCAGACTACTGAAACGGTGGGTGATATCACCATTATGTTCCATGGGAGGGCGTTGTTGGTTTCTCAATATGTGGCGGATGAGGAGATGAAGAAGACGAATCACCATGAGATGTTAAGGAGCGATATTCGGCAGTTCCTGAGTCGATCCATTAGCAAGACACTGGAGGATCTGATTGCAAGAGCTAGAGAGAGGGAGATTGATCTAGATATGGAGAGGAAGATAAATCCAGATCAGGCTCAAGTTTTAGGTGGTT